TTACATAATTATGAAGAATTATATGACATTACATATAGAACATTGAATATTGATAAAATGTAACATTTTTCCCATAGACACTAAATAAATAGGAATAAATTGACACTTATGTAATGTGAATTTATTAAAGATTTCTATATTATTACATTGAATAAATGTAGGCAAACTGGTCAAACTTTAAATTTAAAGTCTTTTGTTCAAGCATTATATACTTAAATTAGTTTATTTGATTATATTACAGTAACCAAGTGCAGATTTATACCGTTCGCTTTGAATCATAATTTATGTGTTTTTAAATATTAGTGATACTATACAGTGAACCTGATTAGAGTAAGTATTGCATTGTTTGAGTATAGATCTTATCAGCTATGAGTTGGATATTTTTACTACTAAGCATATTTTTTATATACTTGGTGTATGATTGACAATAGATTCCAGGGCATGGGTCTTTTTCAGTTTGGGACCCGTTAGTTTACTATCTACCTACAGTATTCATATTCATATTGAGACTCAAACTTAGCACTTCTCATTTCAAACGCATTATCTTTTGAGCTACTGAACCCATGTAACGTATACATAGTAGATGTACTAAAACGTTTGATTTAACATTTTATCAAGCTCATCTGCTCAAGTTGCACATATGGTAATAGAGATCTTGAATATTCATAGTGTAAAATTTCACATTCTTAGTAAACGAATTTTTACATTTAAAATAATTCATAACTATTTCGTAGAATGTGTATACACACGAAACCGTATAAAGACCGTTGAATGCTACCGGTATAGTTATGAACAATCATGAATAGTGTAAATGATGCTTTTTTCCAGTTGGCCGATTCATTTTGAAGTTTACAGTTTGTATATATTCGATAGATATTTTGATACTAAATAATTATTTCAGTCAGATGATTTCAATAACTCTATGAGTCGGTTGGAAGATACTTTCATGTTTGTTAAGACTGAGATAAGTTAGATGTGTTCATGACCGTCCCATTTAAGGTACTGAATAATTTTAATAAACGGAAATAAATTTATTATCATTCGATGATCGTAATTGCTGTAATCAAATGCTCTAATTATAGCAGTTTTTAATGTTCTTTATGAGTTATATCATTAAAGTCTTCATCAATCGAGTCATATGATCATTTATCTTAGTACCCAGTTTACTACTGTTTGTAAATGTTTGCATTTTACACACTGTTTGATTGATTACTAATAGCGAACAAGGTCAATGAACGTATACCAAAATATTTCTCTTGTGTATAATGGTGGAATCTATGATATATATTTCATTCTGGATGTACTCACACTGAAATTTGAACTCAATACCCATTAATTCAAGTCCCCATATGATAACTAATAATCTGCTGAGTTCATTTAAGGACTAATTGATCCAAAGAGGATGATAGTTACTATTCTTTATGTGGATTCATATCCTGGAATATTAATTGTTGGTGTCTGAAGTGTTGGCATAGCGTTTGAGAATCACTGTGTACTCGAAAGGATGAACATCGAACTGACAAGTTCCAAAGAGGACATCATCTTAGATCTGCATCTTAACGTTAACTGTAACCTAAAATGTGATGTTCAATTTCCTCATTTATTATGGTTGGTTGAAACATTTTAGGCTTATTATAAATACTGTCATTAAAATTCAAATCTTCGTTTATAAAAACTACAGTGAATGAGCTTATCTGTTGTGGATTTACCATTATTCTTTGAAGTTGTAACGCAGATAGAAAACAAATAACGATTTTGATGTTTACTGATATTTCTCGAAGGCACACATTTACTGACTCTTATAATGATAATTTTATGCTATGACCAAGTTTCTTTTATAGAACAATTTCTTGTTGGTTCTTCATGCTGCATGGAGTAGCTAGTATTTCTGTATATATCTGTTAAAAGAATAAAAGATTAAGTCCTTGAAATACCACCTATTTCTAATTAATTTGATTTACATCGGAGGATAGTTTCGCATTCAGCAATTTGGATGACTCTCACGGTCTCCTACATTGTACGACCATTCCATATACCTAAATTAGTGGTTGCTCTAGTTGTCAAAAGGGTCGTCAGCCACGTGACTCCCGATGGAACTCGGCTCTCACCATGACGCGTCACAACTCGTCTAAATGAAGATCTTGCAACCCCCAGGGGTGAGTTTAAATGGTTTGAATTATCTTTTCTGTTTATCGTTGTTTTAGCGAGTTAGTTTTCTACGGGATGAAGTCGCAAACCCCATGCCCAACCCTCCTACTTTATTCGGGCTTGGGACCAGCAGTAGCCCCAGATGGGCTCTAGGCGGAGTTGATAGTTTAGTAGGAATAAATTATAATCCAGACAACTGTAGAAAAGACACATTCTAAATATCACTTCTATTTAATTAAACCAAAATATTGTAAGATAACTGAAGGTGTATCATACCCAGTGTATTTAAAAGCTTTAAGAGAATTCCTACAGTTAATTCATGCATATAACGATATTAATTTATCGTCTTTTGATAGTGTATAATTAAATAAGTTCATTTTTATTGTGTGCAATGTTAAGTTTTACCAGTTTACTGACATAAAAGTTTATGGACATATACTTAGCTACTAAAACTCTGATGAAACATTGTTTATGAAGATAACATTAAGCAAAAACAGCTAAGTGAAAGTGAATCTGCCGTTTCATTGAACACTGTAAAATGAATGGACTGCCGGAACGAAAGGTCCTTCTTATTTGATGATCGCTTGTATTTTTCCGATAACTGAATCACTAACCAGACAACTATTAGTGAAGTGAATTTGAAAAGATGTGAACAAAATCGAATGTACGTGAGCTGCTATAGATTCATACTAAGGAAGCTCTTTTTTAATTTAAACAGAGATGGATAGTATCTAGTGATGAAATCCAGGCCGCGCGTTTTGTCCTATTTGAAACTTTTCCCTGGATGGACTTTCATCCCATGGTTGGTGTTCACTCCGGGACTTGAACCTAGTACAATCTACTCCAAATGTCACCACATCATCCACTAAGCATCTGAGTCCATATAACCACTGGCTTATTCAATAGGGTGAATTTTCCGTATGTGTGGATCCCGTGGGGATCATCTCGATATTATCATTAAGTCACAATTATTTTAGGCAGAGGCAAATAATGGTTAGTAGTGTTTGAATTGCTTGTGATGTATTGGCAATACCGAAGTAATCTGCATAGGATACATGCATGTCATAAACAGACTGATCAATTGTAGTCCTAAACAACAATGGGAAGATTCAAACAACCAATATAATTGAGTTCTTCTTTAATTGGAAAATTCTTATGTTTTTCAAATTTGAACTTACGTTGAAAGATAAGTGGTTAGACGCAGCTAAAAACAACCATACTAATTCGAATTTATCTCCAGTTTGTACTAGCAATATATATAAACGTCAGATTCGAACCCACATCATCCAGTGTTACAGTCAGAGACTAAGGATATTAATTACCTCAGGATATCAAATACACATTGCTGATAAGTCCTAACCAGCACGAAACTCAGTCTTATAGATTCGCGATGATTACATCAAACCGTATAAAATGAGGATTATAGCGTACACGATGTCGAGTCACTTAGTCTAGAATCCACGTTGCAACTTAATCCACAAAATTCAATCAACATTCAAGGTAAACATTATATTGGTCACCGCTTACTGATCAATCAAATGTAAACGGTACAATCTCACTTAACGTAACATGTTTCCCTCGTATCTTTGCTGTTTTTTTGCTTCTAGAATATCTTTGTTATACCGTTTATTATTTTCATGTCTCAACTAGTAACCATTTCCCTTTTTGTATATTGATTGCTACCACTGGTTTTCATTCAATAGACATAATCGTGCATGATATTAATCATATTTTTACATCTGTCCAAGTGGAAATTCGGATAAACTAAATTCATCCTTGAAAACAATCTAAAGACAAATTTCTTATGTTTTAACAGAAATTTTAGCATTTTATTTACCATTATTTCACCGTATAAGTTTGCTTCGTAAAGATGATCATGGTCTTTCTAATAAGTTCATGACTTGATCTACAAAGGTTAATTATAGACAAAACTATACTCCTGGAGATTTTAAGGGAATAATGAAGGTTTCTTATGAAAGAAGATAGACTACTGAAAGTATTAGCTCTCTTTTTAAGTGGATCGAATGTTTCAGCAATGAACTCAACATGGGTATTCACTGGATGCTTTGTAAATATGTAAACATTGATATACAGTAAGGAACCGGAAAAAATGAAGTGGAAATATCATGAGGAAATGAGAAAGAGAAAAGTCATACAGCCAAGGAATAGATGAACAAGTATAGTGTTTAAAAGGAGGTATAACTCAGTCGAAAATATGGTCAATAAAGATTATTTTCTTGTTTAAAGAACTATCATAAATTATATCAGTCTTGGACACAACTATAAGAAGTCTCTACTGGATCCTGTTCTGGACCAGTTCTAATGATAACTCAACCCACTGGGTTGCATGAAATTTAGCTACCCAGCCGGAAGATCCATGTGGATCGAGAGGTCCTAGTGACATACAACGTTCTGTGATAAAATGCTACTATATCATAAACTTACATCTCTATATCTTCTCCACTCAGTCCCACAGTTGATAATTAATGGTTGTTAAAAAGAGACTAGGACGGCATTCATAAAATGTATCTAATGATGACACCCACTAGATTGTCTTCTATGAGTCAAAACAAACATTAGCAAACCTAGTCATCACCGAAATGGTGCTTGCATCAGATGTGAGCAATTTTTTAGGATAACAAACTTGAAAACGATGAGTCAATAATCACCTTCACATTTGAATATTCAGGTCTTACGAGCGTAGACCAGAATTGTTTTAAATGACTAGCCGTTTACTAGAAATTTTAGAGCCAGATTAACATCACATTAGCTCTGAAGATGGGCTAAATCGGTGTCGACTGTTCTGGCTTCCACTATACTGACATTACTGAAAAAACTACGTAGGTATACATGTAAACTTCCAATTATATATTGATATCGACAAAATCCCTTAGACAGTCTCGTTCAAAAGCAAAAACGAAGAGAAATAAACATTTTATCATTCTCTTTTCACACACACACACATACACTGCATATACACAAATAATTATAAAGGATTATTAATATATTTGAAATGATACTTGAAATCCAGTTCAAAGTTAGATGAAATATGATGATCTTGTAGCTATGAGATCATTAAGTGTATACGTATAAATGTGAGAAGAGATGTTACATAACTGAAATAACTCATATATTTACCTGCTTTTTTAAAGATATTCTCTTCGCTGTAAATGTATTTATTTCTAATATTGAAGAGTAATTTATGTAGTTATTGTTTGAAAAATATTTTTTGTTTATTTTTATGTAAAATAAAGTAAAAATTTTATTCCAAATGAGGAATGTAACAATCAAGCAATTTATTATTCTCCTCTTCTTCATGTTAGATTACATATACTACTCACTAATTTCCAAATGTTATAGGTAAGTAATAAAATTAGGAAAGATGATTATTTATCGTGCTTGCTTAGTAAATTTTCAGTATATCAGTGTTTATTGTCAATTTTGATTATTTATAATGCAACCAATTGGGCCAATACATTTAGTAATGTATATACTTCCCATCAGGTATTACACATCATACCCTCCAAATATCGATCACAATAAATGCAGAGTATTTTATGATAAACAAATTTGCTTACTTACAAGTAGTTCAATAAATAACACACAAAAAATGGATCCATTTCAAAAATGAATTACCATTGACCAAAGATTATGGTCAGTATTAGTTTGCAAAGATAATCAATAACAACAAACTATATTTCAGTCTAAAGGAATAAAATAATAGCGATCAAAATGAATTACTAGTGATTAAGGAAACAAAAGGAGTTTCTTCTATTGTTTCAATCGTACATTTTATGAAAGTAATTTATGAGAAGTGTTTGTGAACAAAACATATGCATACGTACATGCATACATACATACACACACACAAACGAACAAACATACATACATACATTAAAATTGGTAGAATTATGCCGAATTGAAATAAATAATAAAGCGGTACAGTAAATGATTAATTTATGAAACAAATAACACAACATTAAATGAAATTACAGAAATATTCCTCCTCAAAAAAAGTCGTACGTTTTTTTGTTTCTCCTTTAAAACTAATATGAACTAAGAACATCACATTGAATGTTAGTTTTCATTCATTCAAATATGATTATTTGTATATTTTGTTGAGAACTACTTTTGTTGAAATAAGTAGTTTAAAACGTTATCCAGCTTTTTTCTATCTTATTGTATTTTCATCTGGAAATGTAGAGTTTATTTGATTAAACTGAAGATGTTCATTGAATTGTAATTCTTAGAAGAATTAGTCCCTTATTCATTACTATTATTGTAATTATGTGTATACAAGTATGTACACTAGACAAAATAATGAATAGGTTCTACTGAATTTCGAAAGAAAAATAAAATACAAGAATACACTTTTAAATTTCATTCTACCATTATCTTTATGATGAAAATATTTGTCCATTAATTTTTGTTCACATGTATGCATGAATTTCACCTTCACTCCCTCTTTCTTTTACTCTCCTTCTAAACTTGTGTACATTGAATACAATTAAATGGATGTGTACATTTAATTCGTAAATATAAATATACTAGATTGTTATTAATATAGAATGTTTAAAATAATAACATTAAAGAAGATAAGAATAAAGAAAGAAAAAAGAGAAAAAAAAGAGGAGAAAATAAAGTTAAAATCATATTGAACACTGTATATTATTAGTGTTATTGTAATTTTAATTCAATATGGTTTTGTAGAATCACTTTTTGGACGTTTCAATTGAACTTTAAGACGTTTCATACCAATTTGAAAACCATTCATTGCATGTATAGCTGTTTGTGCACTTGATGGATTATCAAAGCTAACAAAACCTAATAAAATAATATTATTTTAAACATCAAAGAATTATAATCTATTATTACGAGACAAATAAGTAATGGTATTATGTGAATATTGATTTTTGCATCATTTATAATTTTATGTTTACTGATTAAGCATTACTTCCGGTTTCATTGAACCTGTTTAAGGATAATGATCATTGAACAAATTAAAATGTTGTTCAAACGATTGAAGATATTTTTTTAAAAACATTTCATTGTATAATAGTTGAAATTTATTTAAACAGTAAACATGGAGATTATGAAATTGTCTAATAGTTTATCATATAATATTATGCAATATGGTTCAGGGAAACTCTGGGTATTTACAATTATTAAGCAGTGATTAATGGTCAACGTTACTTGCTTACTTACTTACTTACGTCTATTACTCCCAATGGAGCATAGGCTGCCGATCAGCGTTCTCCGACCCACTCTGTCATGAGCCTTCCTTTCTAGTCCTATCCAATTTTTGATCATTCTTTCCATGTCTGTCTCTATTTCTTGACGTAATGTGTTTTTTTGGTTTCCCTCTTCTTCTTTGACCTTGAGGATTCCAAGTGAGAGCACGCCTTGTGACGCATTTGGGTGCTGTCCTCAATGTGTTTCCTATCCACTTCCAGTGCTTCTTCTTGATTTCTTCCTCCTCTGGTCAACGTGGTGTTTGTTTAATCTTTAGTACAGTCACATTCCAGCAGTCCATTTGCAATGTGTTTACTAATCTAAGCATTTCCACATGTTTGGATGTTAATTGGGAAGAGGCAATCATTTTAAATGCTCCAGTCAGATCTAGATGGGACAACTCATTATTAATGTCTGCAACTATGATACTGTTTGATAAGGACTCGAAAAGTCATTCCCTTAATAGTTATGATATGCTTTATAAATGAGGGCTATTTGACACGAAACTTGGATTCAGAGTTTTCTATTGGTTACCTTCAATCATGTAAATTCAAACTTAATAACTTCGTCAAGTTCTGAACAAGTAATTTTCTCATCAATATACTCATAACTAGGTAATTATATTCCTGGAAGCACTGGACGGCCGTTTCGTCCTGGTATGGGACTCCTCAGCAGTGCGCATCCACGATCCCGCACCACGTGGGGCTCGAACCCAGGACCTACTGGCTTCGCGCGCGAGCACTTAACCACTAGACCACTGAGCCGGCATTCAACGGTGTTAATGTCTAACTTCAACCAATCCACGAAGTTGCGCCACCATATACCATTGTCTTCAGTGAGCTGATATCTCACAACAGACCTGGTTGAACTCCACTGGTAACGGCTTCCCACTAGAACTCCAGGAGTATCTCTTGAAGTCAGTCACTAGTGAGCAGATGATTATTATCAGAAGGGGTTTGTGGAGATTTTAGAAATTTTCACAGATTTAAATCATGAGTCAGTTGAAGCTAGACCACCATTGAAAACCTGGAAGCACTGGATGCGCACTGCTGAGGAGTCCCATACTAGGACGAAACGGCCGTCCAGTGCTTCCAGGTTTTCAATGGTGGTCTAGCTTCAACTGACTCATGATTTAAATCTGTGAAAATTTCTAAAATCTCCACAAACCCCTTCTGATAATCATATTCCTATCAAAATTTCATAAAGTATGCGTTGTCGTTCATGTTAGGATAAGTATTATACTTTGTTATCAGCATTAGAGAAGGTTTGTTATTGTAATGCCCCGAATGCCCTGGTACGGCCGAGAGTGGGGAGAGTCAACTCGCCCTTTCCAAATGCTTTCACATGGCCACGTGCACACAACCGCTGCCAGGGAAATCCTATTTACTGCCTTCTCGTGGCGGGGGTGTTGTTTACGAAACTGAGAGGACAAAAAGCGAATATCCGGCGCTTTAACTTGGTTGGTGGATGTGGAGGATCCACCTACGGGAGTTAGAAAACCTTGATTCCAAACCAATGGTGCGCATGGACTCCAGTATCCTGAGGGAAGAAATAGAGTATGAACCAATTGTTGGTCACCGGCTACCAAGGGACTGCATCTCCTGATGTTACTTCATTTCCTTGTAGATCAGACCTTTAGGTCAGAGGCTCGGTGTATGGCCCCCTAGTGAAACCACCAGTTTTGGTACCCGGTCAATATCCTAGCCCTCGCACAAATCTCATGATTTATGTGGTGCATATCTATATGGTACCTCCTTGTACCAATGTTTATGTAATCAAATAGATCAATAAAAATGTTATTGTCGTATTATAGACCAATAATACATTCAGAATAATGACTGCCTAATACGTAGTAGAATGAACAAGTTCTCACAAGATCAAATAAACAATTGATAAAATAGCTTGTATAGAATAAAAAGTCAAGTAATTGACAACTCTTATTTCACATTAGAAGGGATAATACTTTGGAGAATTCCTTTCATTACTACAAATTGATGATAAAGTTGACTATAACGTAACTCATTTATCAAGTAGAAATCTATAAAATTGTCTTATAACTACACTTTTTATAATGTGAGGGCTAGTGATATTATTCAACTGCTTAAATCAAAATTGGGCAAAATTAAGGAGGTGAAACCCCGTGTTTACTACTTTTTTCATTAAACTAATAACACCACAGCTTTTGAATTAAATACTATTTAAATTAATGAAAAGAACTTACCAAAACATTTACTTTGATTCGTTGCACGATCAACATATACTTTAGCACTGATTACTGTTCCAAATGGCATAAACATCTGAGCCAATTCTGGATCGCCAAATTCCTGTGGTAGGTGGTATATGAAAAGGTTGCATCCCTCTGGCCCTATATACATATATAAAGATAGATGTTGATTTGAACCTAATTCATACATATTTATTAATCATATACACAGATGTAAGTTTATCATTCATTAACTTGTATACTGGTGTTGGTAAGAAAGAAATACAGAATGGATATTAAAAGAGAATTGATGTGATTTGCTGTTAAGTTCATTGCGTTGATCAAAATTTGTTGATCTAATTTTAATTTAGTCGATAATGTAAGTAACTTAACTTTACAGGATGTTTGGCCTGATCCTTGAGGTGGTGAGAAGCAATTTAGTAGGTTAGCCATGGACTCAGAATTCGTTGATATAGTTTTAGTTTTGAGTGAACTTTTACTCCCCTACCATGTAGAATACGAACATTCGTTATTCTGTGTGATTGTCAGTTTTGGAAAGAAATCGTAACCAGTTGAGTTCAGTCACGTCTGAAGTGAGACCAGTAGTATCAACGATACTGAATGACGGTCAGGTAGTATTGTAGTGAAACGGAGACCCGCTGGCGTAAACCAATTTATTGTTGAATTGAAAAGTACAGAGTAGTTTAGTAAAATATGAAGACTATACATTTAATATAGTATTTGCATATCTTTCTCCAAGTTCCCCTAACATGCTTCACGATTTTTTATTCCTGTTGTTATTGTAATTGCTTTCTGTTTACATTATTGTTCTCTTCATCTTAATTTTCTCAATATTCTGCTGCCAGACATTCCACTTGTGGTTGGTGTCACGTACTACTTATATCTGTCAGTATACGTAGCATCTATTACAGTATCAGAAATTTATTGCGATTAACAAACTGAAACATTTTATGCCGAATACGTTGTAATAATATAGAAATTAGTCTAAACGTTATTGATGAACACTCCTGTGAAATCTGAAACTTATCCATTAACACTGTACTCCTATGAGTAAATTTGTAGGCCAGAATTATTCATTTTGTTATGTCCGTTACTACTGTCCAATATACGTGTGTTTTGCTGTACATGTTCACTGACTGACTATATGTATTCTTCGTTTTTTTTCTGTGTACTAGTTACATTAATTTGTCAATTTACAAACAAATGAAGTAATAAAGATTACATTTTACTTGTTTTAATAATAGATATGACGCCTAGATTTTGATTTAACAACACTGTAATGTATTTAAATAAGATAACTGTAGAAAAACTAAATCCTACATGTAAAGAAATGATATCTAACTTCAGTCGATCCATGATCTGGCACAAAACTTCGTCTACTGTCTGAGGTGAATAACTGTCTAACACCCGATACGGATTAGACTCTTCTGGTCACGGCTTCTCACTAGAACTCTAGGAAATCCATCTTGAAGTTAGTCAGCAATGAGCAAATGATTACTATCAATAGGGGAATTTGTGAAGACTGTGGTATATTTAACAGTCTAATTGACGAGTTGATCTAAGCTAAACCAGTAATGAAAACGCGGAAGCACTGGCCGGTCATTTCGTCCTAGTATGAGACTTCTCATCAGCGCGCATCCATGATCTCACACGCAGAACCTGAATCTAGGACTTCCAATCTCGCTTGTAAACGGTTAACCTTTAGGCAACTGATGTCTTTCAGATCTTCAATGATAATCTAGCTTAGATCGACTCATAAGCCTAATTATTAAATATACTACAGTCACCATAAATCCTCTTACTGAAAACAGATAATAATCACTTAAAACCATTTTTATGATAAAATCAAAATCCATAAATACAATGCGTTATTTGTTATTTAGTCAGACAATAATCTTTTTGATTTCAAATGTATTGAGGTGGATTTCAACTGATATTTATGATCATGGAAACAAGGAATGATTCAGGGATCTTAATAACTTGGGATGATTAGTAACAAAAAGAAAATCTGATCGGGAATGAGTTATGAACTTTATTCCGTTAAAAAGCTCAATAAAATTGAGAATTCAAGAATAGATTCATTGTGTATACGATTATTACATCATTTAGTAGTCGTAACAATAATAATAATAATAATAATAATAATAATAATAGTGAACAAACAACTGAGATGGGGAAGACCAATTTATTGTTTAATGCAAAACTACAGAAAATCTTGACGAAGTATGAAAATCATACATTCAATACTCCATTTGTATATCTTCCATCAAATGTGCCTCACAAATTTCATTGTTCCATCACTCCTGTTGTTATTACAGTTACTCCATTTTTATATTCCTGTTCTTTTCATTTTGATATCAATTTTCTGTTGCCAGGCACTTTACCACTTATATCTGTTGACATCAGTAGCATACATAACAGTAGTAGTGTAGTGAACGAGAATAAAAGTGGGGATAATCAAATGTATTTGAATACAAAATTACAGAACATTTTAGCAAAATCTAAGAACCATAAAGTAAATACTGAATATGCAAAATGTCAATCAGTTGTCTCAAACTTGATTGTTCCTTTTGCAAATATAAAACAATCGTCTCAGACTTCATTGTTCCTTCCTTTCCACGGCGATAATTCTCTGTTTTCATTCTCTTTTCTTTGATCTTCTTAACGTTCTACCGCCAGGTATTTCACTTTCTATTGATGATACATACTACTCATAGCTATTGACATTAGTAGCACACACCACAGTAGTATTAATAGCAGTAGTAGTGTAAAGAATGTTGGTAGTATTGGCAGTAATGAATTCCGATAACATATCTCATAGTTATAGCAGGACTTATAACTTACGGAAACAATACTGTATGTTTGCTGAAAATTACAGTCATTTACATTTAGAAAGGATGATAACAGAACTGGTGTAAATGTAATCTATCCAATAAGTATACAAACTGTGTTAAAATAAAAACTTTATTTTACAAAATTTAGTGGAAGTTGATCACTTTTATTCTGTTTCGAAATACGGTTCATTGTTGGGATTGCATTTGCTCCTCAGTCCTTTCTGTTGTATTAAATGTTCTTGAAAGTCTTCAGAAGTCAAACGTTTTAGCTAAATTAACATTTTGATATGATTTCTTCAGTTCCAAATGAATCATTAGAACAATGTGAACAATTCATAATTCAAAATCCAGTTCACTAGCAGAAATCTGAACAATTAATGCATGATTGAAAGGATCACGAGACAGGATACATTGTCTGTTGTCATCAATATATTTCATCTCAAATCTGTCATGCACCTGTATCGTTCTTTTTATCTTCTCGGTTATCACCGAAATGTTTGATTAACTTGAAAAGAGACATTTTTCCTAGATCTATCATCTCCACAAGCAGTCGTCAATACTGAATGGATGTAATGAGATATATTCTTGTTTCGATAAAAGTTAAATGCAACTCATTTCGCGTGTTTATTGTACAAATCACACATCCGTATGATCTTGATAAGTACATTACATTAATAATGATCAATGCTTGAACAAATATTTTCACAGGATACAGGCACTGACTGTACAGAAGGCATTACTTGTAATCGGGTCAATGAATATTCAATAGTTCAAGACGTTTTCTATTATACTTTTAGGAAATAAATCATCTTTAACAAGATAATGTAATTTTGAATAGTAAGAAATGAGAAAGCGAATCAAACAATCAAGTGTACATAAACAGGTTCTGACATTCTACTATCATATCTATCATATGTAACTATACTTGATATATGCAACGTAGTGAATATCTGTATGTGAACTCTTCTCCTCATATATTGAGGTGCTACAGCTATACTATTAAAATCATAAATAAACTATGCAATTTCCAATCAGTTGAATTATAACAATAGTAAATAAAGCACTTCATAACAGATATTAACAAATGGAGATTATCATTGTTTGTTCAACACTCTTCATTTGAACAAAGCTTAGATTTTCTAGCTAATAACGAGACGAAGGTTGTTTATATTATTAAACGTTGATATTCAACAGTCAATGAATCAGTCGATCAGTGGTACTGGAATTAACGGAAACAGCTACTCAGACTCTATTCCATTGCAGTACTATTGTCTATGTTAATCCCGATAGTTTTCGATTCTTACCTTTTTTAAATGTTGATTTCATTCCAACCGGTACAAATATTTTATTCAGTGACACGATATATTTTTTCAAGTTTTCTATCATTGCTTACTCTTTTATCATTTTGATGAATCCAACATATTTTGCTTACAATCTTATACTACTTACAAATTTCCATTAGGTGAAAAATAAAATGAATAATTTCCTTTGTATGAATCATGTCATCAGTGATCAAGTCGATTCACTTAATGTATATTTTCTCAGGAATTAATAAATAGCTCTTGCTTATTTGTTTATTTAAACCAAATATAATACACGACAACTAATTGTCTACATTTATAATGACAATAATACGAACTACATCAAAACATTTTATGTGCATAAGTTCACGGAACAAGGTATTGTTAAATTATATAACATCGCATTCTGCACAATATAGCGGGGTATGTTTGTGTACTGAAATTATTCACTCTTTTCTTAAACTTAACATTTTGTACCGGTCAAATACATTATGGATACTATAAACATTTAAGACGAAACAATAATATCTTTGACTGAAATGCACAAGCACAAAATATACACACACACGCACACACATACATTGGTACAGACGTATACTCACATTGATTCACTGAAACATTAATAAACTGACAACTGACATAAATATGAGAATACACTAAACAGTAAAGATAATCTTAATACTTCAGAGTAATCTGACCGATGTAGCAGTAGTAGTAGTAGTAGTGATAATGTGAGTAGTAGTAGTATTTAAAGTTGAACAGTTGACAACGTCAATAAATAATCATTAGAAACAAACAAAAAGCAATGTGGAATTTCGATAGCAAATTACTAAAATCAACAATATTTCACCATAGTTGTTATCATTATTACTACTTGTTATAGTCATCAATAACATGAAGCAATATATTGATTCAATATAAATTACTAATTAGCAACGTCAACGATAATCAATAACAATCAAGATGAACAATATTCCTATATCACATCAATAGTATAGAATGATGAACAGATAAATACATAGACAGATAGATAGATGCACCATTTACTTTACATTATTAATAAAACCTTTATAATTCATAATTATAATAGTAATTTAAAAGGTGAACAAATGATTCAAAGAAATCATAATTAACACAATTACTATAGTTTGTGTTTGTTTGTTTTTTCCAACAATTGACAATGAAAACGGGAACAAGAAAAGTAAACACGTTTTACTACACACTAACATATAACACAATCTGGTGCAATGCCCAACAATAAAGATTATTTTCAAGGGTTAAACTAAATAATGATACTAATGATAGTAATAATAGTAATAATAACTTTCATTTAAAACAAGGTGAATAGATAAAGACCTCAACTGAACAATTCATAGCAGTCATTATCAATGAGTTGTACAAGAAGAAATAATAAAAAAAAACAAAATATTAGAAATAAATTTACCGTTGATCATTTGTTAAACTGTTGGCTAATGAAGAAAATTAGACAGAATAATAATAATGATAATAATATGAGTTGTGAAAGTGAATTTATAAAAGATATTGAGTCTTTAATATTCAGAGAACTTATTTCACTTAACTAAATTGAATGATTCGGCGAGACTATAATTTATGGACGATCTAATCAGAAATGTTTCAGGGAGTTCAAGGTCACGACACCAATTTCAGTACACGATGCTCACGTACAATTGGTTCACAGTGGATTTTAGAGAAAATGTGATAATTTAGCGGCTACAACAAATTCGACTATTAAGAAGTTCCTTTGTTTGTGATTTTGGTAAGCATATAACATGTGGACCATGTGATGATGTTGTCTTACGATGTAATGTGTGTGCTAGGATATGACTTTGTTGGTCGATCCAAATTGAGAATAGGGCAAATTATGACAATTGTTGCGAACTGGATAATAAAAGCACCAGTAACACTGATTGCTACCAGGTACTAAAATATATACGGATGATTGGAGAGTGTACAGATACTTACATAGTCTTGATTATTTGCATCGTGTCGTTATCCACAAGTGATATTTTTTGAGCCTAACAATCGGAGTGCACACAAACACTATTGAAGCTATGTGGTTGAGGCCGAAAGTATTTTTGCGACCTTATCATGGCTCCAGATGCCGACTATTATGAAGTCATATGGATGATTCCCTCTATCGTATGCATTGCGATTTAAAAACCTTTGAACCTCTTTCTAGCTTTGACAAATTTTTGAACCATTTAAAAGAAGTATATCCACTTTAATTCATTAGTTTTGTATAATATATTTTCACTTTATACGAAGTGTTTTGTGATTGGCTAATCTTTCTCAAGGTCACTTAAGATTCGTTCAAAGCTCCTCTATAAATCATAGTCTCGCCACAAAAACTGGTAACAAGCTAAAAAAAGGCTCTTTATCGATTAAATATCTTCATTTATTAATCATTATAACTGAGATATAATGGTCTGATAGATTTCTTTTTTGAGAAGACAATCATCTAAATGGTTAGCCTCTTATGCTTGAAATAGTATTTAACTGTTATAAGTTTTAGTAATAACTATTATAAAATACTTTGATAAAATTATACTGATTGTAGTATCTAATTTGATTATAAAAGTTGTAGAATAGTAGAACTCCACCAAAATCATCCACCTGAGCTACAAATCTTCTCCACCATAGTAAAACTGAATTTGGCATAAAGATTGTAATTTATAAAACAAACAGAATAATAGTTTACAATATCTTAGTAGATAATGTTGTCTGTTTAATGAGAAGAATAAGACGTTCTTGTTGTTATGTTAATTTCTGATATTGTTACTATGATATTAGACACAATGAATTTATGACAATTTTAGTTATAATGATTATCACTGACAAACTGAATTGTTGTTTTAAAGAGTTTACACTTTAATTTGTTATATTTTTACAACTATAACGACTAAGAATGAATTTTTATGAGGTAATGTTTTGTATAGAATTAAGATAATATCAAGGATGAAGGGGAATTTCAGTTGCCAATTCATTCAGTGCAAATATATTCAAAAAGAAATTATCTCAATTGTTTAAACTGTAGATTGTACTGGATCATTGATTTCAGTACTGAATAAATTTGTGTTTGGTACTATTTACTGTCATACTTTCAAGTTTTAATTCATAAAATATGAAGCATTAATATTTAAGTTGAATAACAGTTGATTGTTATCTCTATTCTATCAACATGTGTAAAACTCAATTAAATTTATGGGAATGAAATATGAATTGAATATTTGACTTTTAGAAAATTGCATATTGCCTAATCTTGAAAGTTTTATTAAGCCTGGTAGGTTGGTGTCTGACGAAATCATGGAAGAGGTTCAGAATGCCAACATGATTTTTTTCCAGATTGCTTCTCTTGTAATGTAAGCAAGTTATCAGTATGCTAGTGAAAGCCACAGTACAATTTGCAAAAGTTTGTTCTCTTTTACCTTATGGATGTAATGGGAATCCATAGGCTACTACTTTTCGATGACAGATATTATCAAAGCATTGGTACCACATCGTGGAACAAGGAAGTGGCCAATACTAAGGTATAATAAACAAAGATGGCAATTTGGTGGATACGGTTGTGAATCTTCATCAAAAAATATGGTTAGGACATAAATTAAATATGCTGAACTACACCATATCTTGGTGCTCAGTGCTGGGTGATGTAGTAGTAGGTTAAAAGAAACTTTGTGGAGTCGAAGACAAAACATGCAATTAGTTCATGAAGTCAATGAAGACTAATCTGTGTCATGTTGATAAGTAAACACTGTCTGGTTGGATCATATGCAAAGCTCATGATCAGTGATTGGGGTGTTATCTAGTGATGTAGTCTGAAATCGATCACAGAGAATGTAGATCCGCTAACTCCTCGTTTACCTTTGGATCTTAAGTTTCAAAACTATTTTATATCTCGTATTCTCTTATTTCTTCTAAAATCATATTCTATATTAATTCACCATAAATCGTTTGGTTTTCATTTCATAATAATCTGTTAAGTCGTATCTTACATCAATTATCTCCTTATTTTAAACAGTTTACATTATACCCAGTTGTGCTAACTATATAGAAGTACTTACGGCGAGACTATAATTTATGGACGAACAAATCATGTATAAAATAACAGGTCTTAGATTTTGGCACGAAATTCATCCACGCATTTGGCTAGATAGAGTCTTGGTATTATAGCTGATGTCAGTTCATGATGAAAACCCTAAATTTAATTCTTAAGCTTAATCATCAACTATAAACCATAATTCTAATTTCTCACACAGGTTTATAACCTTCATTTGGTCCTGGTCATTAAGTGGACACTCTCAAGGTCATTTTTGCGTCGCTCAAAGGTTATCCATAAATTATAGTCTCACTTACTCAATTATAATGTGTAGTAGTACTTTTGATGTACTTTGTTAATAAAATCATTCTATTTAGGATCATTTTAATGTGATTCAATAGCTAATTACTTTGTTACAATGATATAAACAATTTGTAATATTAATTACTTCCAGTTAATTATTTTATTCAGTCTGTTTGGTTAGCTTAAGGGATTAGATTTGTGATCCATTTGAAATATAGCTGACTTATAGTGGTAGTCTTATAAAACTTTGAATTTTTGATTCTATAACTGGTAAATTGTGTATTTCTGTTAAGAATAACGTAGTACAGAATACATAAGTATGACGCAAGCTCGTGTCCTGCATATTCAAGGTTACATATACATATATATTGAAGTCGGGAATGTGTACTATTGGGTGTCTATCTAGAGTTTTAGTGTCTTAGCTCTCGTCAACAGACCTAGATTTCCTGGGTCTGAACTCTGATGAAGCAATGATTGCTCACTTCAAAAGAGTCCTGTACTAAGTTGCATCATCTACCTGATATTATTTGATATCCTGAAGCACCCTAATGTAGAGTAGTCTGTTACAAATGTCACTCACAAACAAAACAAATATTCACAAATCTCCTTTATCAAAAACATGATTAGGATTTTTATCACAAATAGATATCTAAAAAATCACTGAAAAACAGGGAGTAATGGACAGTATTTGAATGATATTATGTTGGTAAAGTAATCTGAAGGATCGTTGATTTGATCTTTTATGGGGACATATAGGTATTTCCTGCTTATCTGTTTATTATTAGAGGGAGACAATTATCCAATACCTCTTACCATTTAGTTTGCCAATTATTAGTATCAGTTTGCAATAATCTATTTATGCAAAATCTTTATAAGATTATCTAAGCCAAGAATAAATTAAATGTACCTTTTAATGAAACTACAACTTTTCAACTTATTAGTGTATGCTAACAAAACTTGGTCAGTGGATGGAGATTAAATCTCCTTAAGAAAATATAGCTGTGTATTTGTACAGTTTGTAAATTTATTAAACCCTATATAAAATGTATATAGCAATAGTTTAAAAAAAGTTAAAATGGGCGGGAAGAAGTTTGGTAATATTAGACACTAATATTTTAGTATCAAAAGGGGTTTTGTGGATATTATGGTAACTTTAATAGTTGAGATCATGAGTCAGTTGAAGCTAGACCACCATGCAAAACCTAGGAGTACTGGACGACAGTTTCGTCCTATTGTGGGACTCCTCAGCTGTGTGCATCAACGATCCCACCTCGCAAGATTCGAACCCAAGATCTGTAGGTATCTCACGTGAACACTTAACCTCTAGAGCACTAAGCAGGTCGGAATCCAATAATGTTAATTTCTACCTTCCACTGGTGCTTCCAGGTTTCCCATGGTGGTCTATCTTCAATTGACTCATGATCTCAACTACTGAAATTACTATTATTTTAGTTAATAACATTCAATGCAAATATTATGGCAGACAATAAAACAGATCATTGAATGAGTCAAAAAAATGATCATACATATATATATAAGTGTAATCAATTTAAATTAAATCATACCTGTTAATATTAGATCTTTTGTACCTTCTTTCTGTTGTATAGGCATTGTCAGTGCTTGATGTGCCATTGTAGCGAATGGATTTAAAGCAGATGTGACCGGTGAAGGATAAGCTAATCAAATTAATTTTTATCATTGAATAAATGTGTTAATAAATAAATAAATAATCTATACATAAATTAGCCTATCTGTATCAGTTTAAAGCAAAACAACGACTGAACATTCGAACAGATGTAATTGTTAGAATGTGCTTATAACTACCCACATATATATGTAAGGGTTGTAAGGATAATTATTCTACTTTTGAGAACATGCTTCGTCGTATTCACTAATTGATTTTCTGGGCTGATTAAGCGCTTATAAAATGAATCAGATTGTAAATCATAATACAATTTACTATCAAATGAACAACTTTAAACTTCAGTATAACAATTTAAGGAGATTAGTCATTTGATAAAGGTTATTAAGTTAATACAGATTTAAATATTATGTATTAGTTGGTTTGATTTTCAAGGTTACTTGTAGTAGTAGACCTTTTAAAACGGTAATAACTCAAAGGTTGACATGCACCCCTTCCATTTTACTGCCAACTGTATTTATAAATTTAAGAGCACCTGCCAAAGCAGCTACATTAGCCAAACAGAAAGGAGGGCATATCTTAGATTTTTCGAATATGTTCCAAAAAACCTCAGAACAAGAGAAAGAAATACTCTAAACAGTGCAATCACCAAACATCTATTGGATATAGGACATCAGATAGATACCTTTCAATCTTTCATGGTGATTAGTAAGCTGCCAAACTTCATTGTTTTGAAGTTTGCTGAAGCCGTTGCTATCAGGCGTCAAAAATCAAACTAATGTGTTCAAAAGGAAATGGTTATTAATCTTCCCTTGCTTTGATGACAAATATTCTTTCGCTACATCCTAAAATGTTTTTTTTTCTTTTCCTTTAAACTCTTTCTTACACTTATTACATCATTGGGTTTTATTTCAACTATCTTCCAAATTAATAATCTTATTTTAATTAACTGGTCTCTATTCATTATATTCCTATCAATGTTTACTCATTATATAATCACTTGTTTCTGGCCGTTTGTACTGTTGTCACAATCAATATTGTAGAATATTCTTTCACATAAGGTATATATATTTACAACATTCAGTCTATTCAATTTATTTCCACCCTTGCTATGCTATACAAATGTGTCTTCAATATAACTTCCAACCAAACCGTCTCATGTAAGTAATTTAAACCCATTCTGTAATTATGATTTTCTAAATATCACAGAATGTAAGCAACTGACGAGAGCCTAACGAAATGAAAATGAATTCATGCTATTCTATTAGAATCTTTGTTCTTGCTCTATTCAAAATGATAAAGGGCACCATGTGTATAAAATGAATAAAGTAATCAAACACAAACATGCAGGTACACTATCATCTTGAGATGTAAATCTCCTCTTTTAGATTGGCGAACTTTTACACATAACTCAGTTTGAGTAAAATAATTGTACATGATAAGGTTAACAAAGCTTTTGCCTTTAGTAATCAACCATGTAGAGTTGATTGTTTGAAAGTCGATTCGTTAGGAAATATATGCAAACTTTAATACTTCATAACCTTGCACTAAAAACATAATTTAACTAAAGTATAAATATCACTCTGTAGAAATCTAAATGTTTAGATCACAATACGTTGATTTTCATTGCTAATTTTTGTTGAAAATCGATAGCTAAGAGAACTTGGCTTGTAATATCCATTATCCATGAGTCACTGATTATGCCTCTGAATAGACTTGATTGTGAAACCATTCAGTTTTTAATTATTTGATTCGAACATAGATCCATTCACCATTATACAAGGTAGTATAGCTTAAAAACAATTATTTCAATAATGCTAGAGGAGGAGGTAATATGAACTTCACCTATAGGGAAATGGCAATGTTTTAAACAATTTTCAGCGGTATTATTCCATAAAAACGACACTCACATAATCCATAAGTTGGAACACTGGGATACAAATGGGAAAGTGCATCAGTAGGAAGTCCAGTTAATGGAGATGTTAATGTATTTAAGCCAAAAGAAGTATTTGAAACTACAAAAATAAATTAATAAATAGAAATTATTAATAAAACAGAAATTTTTATAAAGACTTATTTTATTTAGATGATTCTATAACTCATTTTCCAAAGTCATATTAGGTTTTAATTCCCATCAGCACAACAAGAATTACTACTTCAGATGGTGGAGATTTGTAGCTCAGGTGGATGAATTTAACGGAGTTTTGTTCTCTGAGCTGGAATTATTTCTTCTATCTGAAGTTTGTTCTGATGATGTCGTTCAGAAGAACGATGAAAGTTCCATGATCAAAACGTCCAGCTCAGAGAACAAAACTCCATCAAAACAATTACTACTACTACCCATGTGTTACGTATACCTAGTATGTAGAGTGAAGTTCGAACCTATGATCTTATAACTTTTAAATGAATATTCCAGCCCAAATGCAATTAATACACTAGCTGTTGAACTGAGATTGTTTGAAAAATAACTTGATAGCCGTTGCTTCCTATTCTAAAACTATTCACTAGTAAATGTCAACGATCTACTTTAGAATAAATTCCATATCTTCTACGCTTCATAGCGCACATGATGAATACAATTTAGACCTCAAAGTCGGGAACCGGTGATCTGAGTTTCCGACTCCATTCAATTTAATTGGTAGGTATTTTACCTTAAATTAATAATATTTTGAAGCTAACAAGTCGAAAATATTGAAAATCCATTTCACTGCTAGTCACTCGTAAATACACCATAGTTGGATGAGATGTGAAGATTAGTTAAGTCTGGTCAAACATAAATTCCAGTGAGAAACCAAATCGGCTTTTGTAATAACTCTATCGTCGATAATAGTTCACAACAGGAGGAAAAATTGATCATAATCGTATGTACAGAGGGATTTTTTAAATTTATTTGTTAATTAGTATCTAAATGAACTCCGCCTGTAGCTCTTATAGGGTTGCTGCCGGTCCCAAGCCCGGGTAAAGGAGGAGGGTTGGGCATGGGGTTAGCGTCCCCATCCCGTAGAAAACTAACTCGCTAAAAAAACGCTTACCAGAAAAAATAATTCAAACCATTTTAACTCTGCCCTGGGAGTTAGAAGGTCTTCATTTAGAAGAATTATGACGCTTCATGGTGAAAGCCGAGTTCCTTCGGAAGCCACGAGGCCGATGCCCCTTCTAATAACCAGAGCAAAAATTTTTATAGGTACATGGAACGTTCGAACAATGTGGGAAACCGGGAAGACCAGTCAAATATCAATGGAAATGAGGAGATACAACTTAGCAGTACTGGGAATCAGCGAAACCCACTGGACCCAAGCTGGACAGAAAAGGCTAGCTACGGGAGAGATGCTGCTATACTCCGGTCACGAAGAGGACAATGCTCCACACACTCAGGGAGTCGCTCTTATGCTGTCCAAAGTAGCACGAAATGCACTTGTAGGATGGGAATCTCACGGATCCAGAATCATCAAAGCATCATTCAAAACAAAGAAGGAGGGGATCTTAATGAATATTACCCAATGTTATGCACCCACCAATGATAGCAACGACGACATTAAAGATCAATTCTACGAGCGGCTGCAGTCAGTGATAGAGAAATGCCCAAGAAAGGACCTCACCATTCTAATGGGAGATCTAAATGCCAAAGTCGGAATAGACAACACTGGATATGAAGATATTATGGGACGACATGGACTGGGAGAAAGAAACGAAAATGGAGAAAGATTTGCAAATCTATGCGCATTCAACAAATTGGTCATAGGAGGCACAATATTTCCACACAAGCGTATACACAAGGCTACATGGATCTCACCGGACCACACTACAGAGAACCAAATAGATCATATTTGCATCAACAAAAAATTCCGAAGGACAATGGAAGATGTGAGAACCAGGAGAGGAGCTGACGTAGCTTCAGATCACCACCTAGTTGTAGCCAATTTGAAACTGAAGCTAAAAAAGAACTGGACAAGTGGACAAACAGCAATACAAAGGTTCAATACAGCCTTCCTTCGAGATACTGTCAAACTCAATGAATTCAAGATAGCTCTCAACAACAGGTTCCAAGCCTTACGAGATCTACTGAAAGAAGAAGAAACTACTATGGAGGACAACTGGAAAGGCATCAAGGAAGCATTAACTTCAACGTGTCAAGAGGTTCTCGGTCTAAAGAAATACCATCATAAGGAATGGATCTCTACAGAAACAGTGGACAAGATCAAAGAAAGGAAGAACAAGAAGGCAGCAATAAACAACAGCCGAACACGAGCAGAGAAAGTCCAAGCACAAGCTGAATACATAGAAGCAAACAAACAAGTGAAGAGGAGCATTAGAGCCGACAAGAAGAAATACGTTGAAGAACTAGCAACGACGGCAGAAAAAGCTGCTAGAGAAGGAAACATGAAACAGCTTTACGATACAACGAAGAAACTATCAGGGAAATACAGTAAACCAGAGAGGCCGGTCAAAGACAAAGAAGGCAAGCCAATCACCGAAATTCAACAACAACGTAACAGATGGGTAGAATACTTCGAGGAACTCCTGAATAGGCCGGCTCCAATGAATCCACCGGACATCGAAGCAGCACACATAGATGTCAATCCACCAACTACGGAAGAAATTAGAATGGCCGTCAGACAAATCAAGAATGGGAAAGCAGCAGGACCCGACAACATATCAGCTGAAGCACTGAAATCAGACATCGAAACAACCACAAGCATGCTTTATCTTCTATTCAAAAAGATTTGGGAGGAGGAACAAGTGCCGATGGACTGGAAAGAAGGACACCTCGTCAAGATTCCAAAGAAAGGAGATCTGAGCAAATGTGAAAACTACAGAGGCATAACACTACTGTCAATACCAGGGAAAGTCTTCAACAGAGTGTTGCTGAACCGGATGAAGGATGCAGTAGACGCCCAACTTCGAGATCAACAAGCTGGATTCCGTAAGGATCGGTCGTGCACAGACCAAATTGCAACACTACGGATCATCGTCGAACAATCAGTTGAGTGGAACTCATCATTATACATCAACTTCATTGATTATGAAAAGGCATTCGACAGTGTAGACAGGAGGACGTTATGGAAACTTCTTCGACACTACGGAGTTCCTGAGAAGATTGTCAATATAATCCGGAACTCATACGACGGACTACAGTGCAAAGTAGTGCATGGAGGACAGCTGACAGATGCATTCCAAGTAAGGACCGGAGTCAGACAAGGCTGTTTACTCTCTCCCTTCCTCTTTCTTCTGGTGGTCGACTGGATTATGAAGACCTCGACATCTGAGGGAAAGCACGAAATACAATGGACAGCTCAGAACCAACTAGACGATTTGGACTTCGCAGATGACCTAGCCCTCCCATCACATACACATGAACAAATGCAGATAAAAACAGTCAGTGTAGCAGCAGTTTCTGCATCAGTAGGCCTCGACATACACAAAGGGAAAACCAAGGTCCTCAAACTCAAAGCGGAGAACAGAAATCAAATCACTCTTGATGGGGGAACTCTAGAAGATGTAGAATCCTTCACATATCTGGGAAGCATCATCGATGAACAAGGAGGCTCAGATGCAGACGTAAAGGCGAGGATCGGTAAAGCAAGGGCCGCATTTCTTCAATTAAAGAACATATGGAACTCAAAACAACTTTCAACTAATATCAGAGTGGGGATCTTCAATACGAACGTCAAGGCAGTTAGTTCTACTGTACGGAGCTGAAACTTGGAGTACTACAACAACCACAATCAAGAAAGTACAAGTATTTATAAATAGCTGCCTTCGCAAGATACTCAACATCCATTGGCCGGATACCATCAGCAACAGCCTTCTGTGGGAGAGAACAAAGCAACTTCCAGCTGAAGAGGAAATTAGGAAAAGACGATGGAAATGGATAGGACATACATTACGCAAATCGTCAAACTGCATCACGAGGCAAGCCCTAACTTGGAATCCTGAGGGGAAGCGAAAAAGAGGAAGGCCAAAGAACACATTGCGTCGGATAATAGAAGCAGATATGAAAACGATGAATTACAACTGGACGGAGCTAGAAAGGATTGCCCAGGACAGGGTTGGATGGAGAACGCTGGTGAGCGGCCTATGCTCCTTCACGAGGAGTAACAGGCGTAAGTAAGTAAGTAAGTAGTATCTAAATGACCCTGAGTGAGCTACTTAATCACGACATTTATACAAAAGCATACAAAATGTAAGTCTTAACTTATCTCTTGAATCGTTTACATCTGAATCATCCATACAATGTGTTCCTAATTGTTTAATTTATCAAGCATGCACTAAAAATAATTAATACTTTCTCACGGTCGGAATCACTAGTCGATCTATGCTAGACCATTAACATGAACCTCAAAAACTGGACAGACGGTTCGTCCTATCGAGGGACTCCTCAGTAGTGAAGATCCACGAATCCTCGTGTGGAACTAGAAATGTACTATGTGAGATGTCTGACACTTAATATAATAATAACGGTGTGATGCTGGACAGTGATAGACTTACTTGCTTGATTCAAAGGAAGCGAAACAGCGCCAAGACCACTGAGAGTTGCCGATGGTGTATGTGTCCCAGGAACTCCATGTAGAGCCAATGTATGACCACCAGTTCCGGGAGATCCTAAGCCTATTGTTTGTCCTGTCAAACTACATGTTGTTCCATTTGAATTCACATTCCCTGTCACATTCCCATTTGCCATAGCAACTACAGCTGCGGCGGCTGCAGCCATTGCTGCATTTGTACTGAGTGCAGCGGCGGCCGCAGCCGCTGTAGAGTTTCCATTATTTGTGGGGTTATTATTTCCTGTCTCTCCAGAAATACATGTACTGTTTACATTGGATAAAGCTGCCATTTGAGGTGATATTTGTGTTAGCTGAGGATTATTGCCGGACATACCAAGCACAGCGGCTGCTGCCGCAGCCATTGGATTTGTATGACAGTTAGGCGATAGATTAACAGTACCTGAACGTGGACTATGCAGTAGTGGAGCACAGCCTAAATGTCCACTGGAACCGTTGGTTAAAGCAGAAATCATTGCTAAATTTGTTACATTAGTCGGTAAGTTGACTGTAGCTAATTGACTGGCATGCTGAAGTTGTAATGCCAATGCAGCAACTGGATTTATATAACCTGTTGTTTGTGCCATATTCTACATAAATCAAGACGTTTTTATAAAAATTAGTTATCAATTCAAAATTTGTTAATATAGAAAGTATTAAAATCTGTAGAAACTGTTGTAAATTAAAACAATGTTTTATTGGCTGTCTTGTGGTGTGATACTGATGTCGACAGATATAAGTAGTATGTATCATCAGTTCAAAGTGAAATACCTGGCGGTAGAAGGTTAAAAAGATCGAAGAAAAGAGAAAGAGAACAGAGAATGATTGATGTGGAAACGAAAGGACAATAAAGTCTTAGACGATTGGCTGACATTCTGCAAATGAAGTATTTACAATATGGTTCTCAGAGTTTACTAAAATGTTCTGTAATTTTGTATTCAAATACATTCGATTGTTCCCACTTGTGTTCTCGTTCGCTACGATTTCATTATTCAACTATTCTGATAAAATGTAAACTGTTTAAACTCAAAATCTAATATTGTTTAATTACCGTTATTTCACACAATCATCATTAACGAAATGAGTTTATTTGATTAAATAAAAATTTCCGAATTTATAAGCAATCACTTCAAATATTTGACTTTATAATTTGCCAGAAGGGGTTTTTGCAGATATTATGATGATTTTAATGGTTAAGATCATAAGTCAATTGGAGCTAGACCACCATGAAAGACCTGAAAGCACTGGACGGCCGTTTCGTCCCAGTATGAGAATCCTCAGTGGTGCATATCCACCATCCCGCCTAGCGAAATTCCAACCCAGCACCTATCAGTCTTGCGCGCGAATGCTTAAACGCTAGACATTGAGAATGCCAACCCAATAACTAGAACCAAATGTGGATTGTAAAACAGTTTGAAGAATAAGGACTATGATTTACATTTGATCGTTAATGTTAGGAATTGTATTTAGGGTTTTCATCACGAACTGACATCAACTATAATGCCAAAACCCTATTTACCCAAATAAATAAATGAATGTCGCTCCACAATCCGAGACCTGTTATTTTGTACGTGATTCGTTCGTCCATAAATTACAATCTCGCCGATATATTAAATAGCACAGCTATTAAATGTCAAATAATCGGTATTATCTGTTATATCTTAGTGAAGATCAAACTACGGGTAACTTCTGAGAATTATTAATGGACTAATATTATATATATATATATTGTATAACTGTTCAGTAGCTAGATTATGCATATCTATATTCCTGTTATTATAAACTTCATTTTGACCTATTGATTATTATAGTTCTTAACTTAAGTTTATTGATTACAATCTCCCACGTTCACAGCCACTTTTGGGCTTGATCTTGTATAAATGTTATTTCTTATTTTATGGTGCGATGCGGTCTGTCTTTCTGGTATATAAACCAAGTATATTTGAAATAAATGATTCGTACAGTAAAAGCTGACAATGGCGTTCTGTACTTAACTGGACGGGCTAGGCGAGCAAAAGACCAATAAGTGCTCTAGGCTTCTCATACCGATAGAACGTTATTGTTTTGGCACAGAACTAAGATTGTATAAGTCGTATTTCGATTGGCGAATAAATTACGTGATAACTAGCCAGGCTTAAAGTCACAACGTTATCAATAAATCATTTTCACAGAACTAAATATGAGAATCTTTTTGTATATAAATCATGACTACATATGCACTTACCTCTATCATTTGTGAATACATATTACCATTTAGTTGAGACAGTGCTATGGTTGGACTCAATAAACCCATTGGACCAATTAATTGTTGAATTTTTCTTGTATGACGTTCTTTTTCACTATCGGCAAATTTCACAACGATACTTGATGAAGCTCCCTGACATTATTCGTAATGTGGTTTTATATCGTTGGTGATGATGAGGTTTTAATTAACAAATGATGCCGATTCCAGAGAGGATGAATATTTAGACGTGGTAATATAAGAAAGATTAAACTTTACATTTCTATTCAAGTAAATTGAACTTCAATATATATATAGCAGGAAAGAGGCGAAAAGATTCAAAATATGAAACCTGGATAATTATACTTGACTGAACTAGCAACTCACCAATGGCGTAGGATAATAGTTTCGCAAAATCATGGATTGATTAAGATTGGAAATCCAAACAATTTTGCATTGACTCAGTGACTTAAATATCAAACCTTATTTATGAGATTTAAAGGTCCTGGGTTCAATCCATGTGGGTGGTAGGCACGTGGTTGCCAACTGTTAAGACATTGCATATCACTAGGGTGAACTAGATGTACAGTGTATCCGGGTATTCGATCGTAGACCAACTAAAGTCAGTTTGTGATTCAAACAGTAATATTTTTTTTCGAATAATTTTATGTAGATCTACTGATAAACTTTAGTGATTCATTTCTTTCGATAATCTAAAAATATGGTCAACTGAATAAAATTAGATTACTCATTTTCGTAGTTATAAACCTGCTAAACTCAATGTTTTGCTATTCATTTTGTAGTCATGTGGCTTACTTGTTTATACATGTGATCTATGAATATGGATTATAAAAAGTACTGCAAAACATCAAGGTGTCTCGTGTTCTCATTGAATTCCTGGCAAAGTGATATTTGGGAGATGAGAAGGATGCACAAATAGCGTTCAAAGTTTTATTATTTTCGGCGTCGATAAAAAATAACATTCACGTTACTTGGAGATATAACCCAATAAAATCGTTGAATACTGAAATTGATCTAGAAGATTTTTGGGAACGATTTTTAAGACAACCCATGTGATGTTGGATATTCTAAATTTAAAAAGTTTTGCAAATTTTGAGTGCTATGTAATCATGATTGTCTTGAAAATTAGTTTCTAAATCATTGAATCAATGATCATTAATTTTCTGTCAAATGATTATGAACCTTTCACGTAAGGAAGCATATTAAACCATCGTATCTTATCGGTTGGGGTTAGGGATCACAATTTTATTGATCAATTTTGTAACTTGTTAATTATAATTGTTACCATTTAATTATTAATCAAAATCTATTGGTCATGATACGTTTGGAGGACAAAATACGTTTCCATAAACACACACACACACGAGTATATTGAAAACTTACCGGCATTGTTTGACTTCCATGTAGAGTAAGAATAGCGGATTGTGCTTCCTGTTGTGTAGCGAATTTTACAAACGCACACCCTTTATTTGAAAGAACAAAAGGAAATGTTTCTATGTCAGGTTTATAATAAATTAATTGAAATTATGGTTAGTATAATAATAATATCAGAAGGGTTCTTTGTGGATATTATGGTAATTTTAATCGTTGAGATCATGAGTCGATCGAAGCTAGACCACCATGGAAAACCTGAAAGCACTGAACGACCGTTTCGTCCCAGTATGAGAAACCTCAGTGGTGCGTATCCACCATCCCGCCTAGCGAAATTCCAATTCAGGACCTATCAGTCTTGCGTGAGAGCGCTTAACCAACGGATCACTGAGCTGGCATCCAATGGTATTAATATCTAACTTCAACCAATACACGAAATCGTGCCACCGTCCACCATTATCTTCAATAAGTTACTATCTCACAGCAGACCCTGATGAACTCAATTTGTCACTGCTTAATAATAATAATAATAATAGTAATGGTATTAATAGTATTAATAATAATATGAATGGATTTTACTAGCAGATGACAATTTTCCATGAACTCTGAATGTTTTTGTTTCGATTAGCTCGACTGAATTGCATTTTTAATTTTTGAAAAACTAGATTCCACTATCCATCTTTTCTTATAATGCTTTAGAAATATGGCAATATCGAGGCAATACGCACAGAATACACATATGTCAATAAGAAATTGATGAATTGCAGTCCTAACCATCAACTCGAAGATTCAATTAAACAATACCAAATGAATTAAAACTTTTGGTTTTAAACTCGTCAATACTAGATACCTATGATCTTTAAACGAGATCTAACCAACGATAATTATGTCGCTCACAAAATATGATTATTTCAGATCAATAAGCCAAAAACTATTAGTTTATATTGTCGTATTCAATCAGTTTGTGGTACGGCTCACCGTCCTAACGCTATGTGATCGATGAGTTATTATCATACTCCTTAGACGATTTTTTTTACAAGTCAGTACGGAATTATTATTTGATAGGGTCAAGATTTATAATAATGGCTGAAAAACGACTGAAAACTAAGAGTGGTAGATAACTGTTTCGTTTTAGTTTAGGGCTTTTTGGTAGTTCCCACTTACTGTCCAGCAAAGATTTTAACGTAAGATTTCCCATAATGAAAACTCACTTTGAATAATTCGATTTAACTTTTCATGGTGGTGGAATCGTGTTAACTAATAAACAATAGTATTATCACGTTTGTAGTTTGCATCAATTACAAATTGTTCTGAAACCAAAGAGCGCTGGGTAGTTATTTCAGCTTATTATGCCACCTGAAGGAACGGGCACCCATGATCTCATATTATCTCTCAATCAAATAAAACCATTGTGCTGATATCTAGTGGTACAATTTCATGTACAACAAAATACACATCTAGTACTCTATTGTTTCTGATGGCATCTCAAATGAGATCAACATGTGACGAATACAATTTGCAAATTAAAAACCCAATCAACACAAAATCTCTTCAGCTATACAAAAAACAATAATACTTTGAAAGAATTCAACTTAGCAATTAATTTGTAATGGATCATCATGAATAGTTTACCTTTACTATTTCCACTTTGATCTCGAAGTATTGTACACTCTTCAATTGTACCAAATGGTTCAAATAATAATCTGACATCATCTTCATTTTGTTGTTTGCTTAACATACCAACAAATAATTTACGTTCTTCTAAATAGAAATAATCAGTCAATAAAAAATAATGTAAAATGCTCATTTAAACATTAGGAAATTTACTATATATAAATTGAACGATTTGAACATTGAATATTTGTATAATTTCAATAAAGAAAAACAATTGATATTGTTTTATTTGAATCTTCCCATTGATGTTTTTAGGACTGAAATTGATCGATCTCTTATTGGCATATGTGCATACTGTGCATATGCCTCGATATTGCCTTAATTTACAAGCATTATAAGAAAAACAATTTTTAGGTTATTGTATTAACTATATAACGTGTAACTATGGAAGCTTCTTCGACACTTCAGGGTGCCTGAAAAGATAGTCAATATCATACGGAATTCTAATGATGGATTAAACTGCAAAATAGTGAATGGATGAAAGTTTACACACTCGTTCGAAGTAAAGATCGGTGTCAGACAAGGTTGTTTACTCTCACCCTTTCTCTTTCCCCTGTGATCGACTGGAATGTAAAGACGTCAAAATCTGGAGGGAAGCATGGGATACAGCGGACAGCTAGGATGCAGCTGGACGATTTAAACTACGCAGATGACCTGGCTCTTCTATCGCACACGCAACAACAAATTCAGCAGCCTCAGCAGCAGTAGGTTTCAACATGCACAAAGAGAAAAGCAAGATTCTCCGATACAACACACCATGCACTAATCAAATCACAATTGATGGGGAAGCTTTGTAAGATGTAAAAACCTTTACATATCTGGGCAAAGCAGGAGCAGTATACCTACAACTGAAGGACATCTGGAACTCAAAACAACTGTCAACCAACATCACGGTTAGAATTTTCAATACAAATGTCAAGACAGTTCTACTGTATGGGGCGGAAATTTGGAGAACTACGAAAGCCATCATCCAGAAGATACAGGTGTTTATTACCAGCTGTCTACGCAAAATACGTCGGATCTATTGGTCAGACACTATCAGCAACGATCTACTGTAGGAGAGAACAAACCAGATCCCAGCGGAGGAAGAAATCAGGAAGAAGAGCTGGAAGTGGATAGGACACATTGAGGAAAGCATCCAAATGCGTCACAAGACAAGCTCTCACATGGAATCTTCAAGTCCAAAGGAGGAGAGGGAGACCAAAGAACACATTACGCCGAGAAATGGAGACAGACATGAGAAGACTGAACAAGAATTGGATAGAGCTAGAAAGGAAGGTTCAGGGCTGTGTTGGGTTGGAGAATGCTGGTCGGCAGCCCATATTCCATTGGGAGTAAATGGCGTAAGTAAGTAAGTAATATAACATGTTAATTTGTGAAGCTTCATTAATTTCAACTTCTCAATAGAACTGCAGAAATATTATCTTGAAGTTCGACATTAAATAATTAATTATTTTTATCAGTATAATTTCATTATATTGTGAAGCTAATGAACATTCATCATGATGCCCATTATCTAAGTAACATTATTTTCACTATGCTAGACCACTATTGAAAATCTGGAAGCAGTGAAGGGCCGTTCCGTCTCATTACGGGACTTCTAGGCAGTAAGGATCTATGATTCCACACGCAGGACTTGAACCCAGGGACTTCGATTTTGCCCGCGAAAGCTTAAACTCTAGATCACTGAGCCAGCATTCAACGGTAATAATGTCCCATACTAGGACGAAACGGCCATTCAGTGCTTACAGGCTTTCAATTCTGGTCTAGCTTAGATCGACTCGTGAATTCAATCCTCAAAAGTACTACAATCTTTACATATCCCCATACTGATAAACACCATGAAACAAATCTATATATCAATATATGAACTCAGTGTAGTATTGAAATAAGTTTTTTAATTTCTTATTGTCCATTAAAATATCTTTATATTTTTGGTATTCAAACAATAACAGATTCTCTTATTAGTCATTAATTATAGCATATTCCATTTTCATGTATTATTATTGTTATATATTTATATTCTAGATTTTATGTATTCTGATAGAAAATTGAATCATCACCGTCGTCGTCATCATCATCATTTTATACTTTACAATTAGCTGATAAATTGGTTGTTTGCGAGAACAAACTATGTTGTTATTCAATCTCATGTAATAATTGTGTAATAATATCAATATTTAGAGAAGGGTTTTGTGGATATTATACAAATTTAATAGTTGGATTCATGAGTTAATTGAAGATAGACAACCATGGAAAACCTGGAAGCACTAGTCCTAGTATGGGACTTCTCAGAAGTGCATACCGATGATCCCACATCGCTGGATTCGAACCCAAGACCCGTCAGTTTTGCGCTCCAATGTTTAACCTCTAGACCACTGAGCGTGTATCCAATGGAGTTAATGTCTAACATCAACCAATCCACGAAATTGATCCACCAACCACCATTGTCATAATATTAAGTTATAATTAAAACTCATAGATTAGGAGGTTTCTGAAGATTTCTGGCGACTCGACATAGTTTGTGTCAAGTAATCTTTATTTTTAGTTTAAACCTACTTGTCAATAATCCTTTAAAGGTATTAATTGTGAAAGTTATCAAATTTCCATCGTATACTTTAGCACATTTAACTTGAGATTGTTTTCATCACTAATTTTAACTACTATCTTTAATTCAGTAAACAAATTTGTATACAAAACAATTTTTCATCTTATTACAAGGTGGAAATAGCATCGGAAATTGATGTAATAAATATTACGTAATTCCTAACAATCATCTAATATAAAAAGACAGTACACAGTTGTAACGTCTCGTACTCTCAAACTTGGTGACATGAGTTTAAATTTCACTGGGATCATCATTTTTCTCATGGATTTGAGTGTATCATGGTGACAAGCATGTAATTTCAGTTCAGGGTTTTTTGTCGACTACCATCATCTAATTAACATCAAAGCTCTAACTACCATAAATATTCGTTGTCATAGTCATGCTTGTTGCCAGTGAACAATAATGAAATCTCCCACATATGTTACGTCAGTTATCCAATAAACAACAACTAAATTAAATTTCGCAATCATTGAAAGTCAACTGGTAGGATTTTATTAGCCTTACATTGTATGACGAAGTATATTCTATGTTATGATAAGACTGTTATCCATACTCTTAAATGAAAATATCTTATGAACTAGTTGGTGCGTAATCCTGTTCAATATCTGTCACCCAAAGGTATGCAACTTTATTATTAAGCATCATAATACTAAACCATGATAAAATAGAATGTGTTCGTTTTTTTAGTTTATCAGACCTCCGTCAGTCGACTCCTTTCTGATATTCGTCAGCAAAATTATAAAATTAACTTTATATAAATCAATTCTACATCATACACATTAAATTCTGTCACCTGGATCTAAAAAACCTTATGTAGAACTATATGTATATTTATGTTTACTACTAATGAACTAAAAGCATTCAACATCACACTGAATAAGCTACGATTAGCTTTGTACTTAGATTGAATGCTTTGGTTAACCGATTTTGTTATTAATTTAAAGTATTTGAACACGGGCTTGATTCTTATTCTGAAGTAAATTCAAACAAATAATCCTCTCTTACGTAAATTAGTTTGTGGCTTGTATATATTATTGTTAATTTATCTGTTGAAGCTTCCGATACGTCTAACTAAAGACCGAAAACAAGCATGAAACTACGGTGGTGATCAATTTCAAGCATCTTATAGAAGCGGAATACTAATTAAAGCACTGACCGTCCAGATAGTAGGTTATAAGTTCAATACTTGGTGAATTATTGCTTTTAAAGCGTGTAGCAGAAAAGTGTGTCGTTAAATAAACTATTAAAGTTGTTTATCAATAACAAATTGTAGATATAACGGATAGGGCGAGACTATAATTTATGGACGAACAAATCATGTATAAAATAACAGGTCTTAGATTTTGGCACGAAATTCATCCACGCGTTTGGCTAGATAGAGTCTTGGTATTATAGCTGATGTCAGTTCATGATGAAAACCCTAAATTTAATTCTTAAGCTTAATCATCAACTATAAACCATAATTCTAATTTCTCACACAGGTTTATAACCTTCATTTGGTCCTGGTCATTAAGTGGACACTCTCAAGGTCATTTTTGCGTCGCTCAAAGGTTATCCATAAATTACAGTCTCACCACGGATAGCTTTAAATTCACCGTCCAAATTTGATTATTGTATTATGGGTTGTGATTAGATGAATGTAGGGGCCATCTTAGAATTAATAAAATAAATGAATTTAATTTTGTTCAAAAGACGATACATAGTGAAATAATCTGACTGTATGATTGTTTGTCAGAACACTGAATTATTGTCATAAATGCCTAAATTAACTAAGATCAACGATAAAACTACCAGACAGAAGTTGTTCTTTAGTAACAGATGAAACAGGATTAAACTTCGTAAACGATTAGTTAGTAAGACGTTAATAAATCACCCCAATAGAGTTACTATCTGGTTGTCATATCACAAACAGTATAGTCTTAGAAAACATCACTTTGTTCTGTTCATTCTACAAACTATCAATGAAACCTAGTCTTCAATCATGCAAACATTAATAAAGATTCTGTATGTTGATTATGAATTGAATGATCACATCATTTACTAAGCATTTTAGATTCATTTGAAAATATTGTAAGATAAATACATCAATTATTTATGCTCATTTTGAGCAAAGGGAATGATATCTACCAATTTCTAAATGTCTATGGTTAAAATATTCTTTAAGTCAAGTTAAACCGCTTCTAGTTTGTGAATAATATTTTAGTGAATTTTACTATATTACTGAAATCGAGTTATAATTTAAGTGAACTTGAAAATTTGTGAACAACAAACACATAGATGAATTAAATCAATGGTCTATTCAATCAAGAGAAATGAAGTGAATTGTGTACATGGTTTTTATGTTTATGAAATGTTACCAAGGGTTTTTCATCGAACAAATAAACTATCTGTAAAAAATGAAGCAATCAGATATATAAAAATGAATATAAAAGAGTTTTACTAAGGTTCAATAACTGTACAGGAATGAAGACAAGCTATT